CAGCAGTGGGGGTGAAAAGGGGGTGTAACTTCAGAATGTGGTTGGATATCTAGTTGGCAAGACTTGATCACTGATTGAATGTGGGGGAAGCTGAGAAGAGAAGTGAAGCTAACTCTGAGCACATCTGAGTGACAACCTGGAGGTTCCTGGATATACGAGGGGGCAGACAATGCCCTCTGCCTATTTCTACATCCTTGGCTAGTTCCACATCTTCCCTGCCTGACCCAGCCTCTCCCATTCCTGCTTATCTTTGGAAACCTTGCTCCAGCCCATGTTCACAGACAGGAGAAGGCTGGATCCCTTCCCAGAGACACTGGAAGCACCTTCCCAACCTGTCTGCATAGCCTCCTTTTCTTGTGTGACTCTCATTGTATGGTGTCATGATCCCAGGAGTTTCATTCCTAGATGCTCATGTGCATAAATTCCTTCCTCAAGGACAAGACCTGGGTCTTACCATTCTGTTGACCTGCAGGAGAGTCTGAGAAAGCATAAATGAAACATGGACTAGACCAAGGGTAGCAGATAGATGGGTTTCATCCCAGCTGATTATGGCGGGCTGCCTGGAGTGCTGTGTAGAGGGCTCTGAGGCTGCATCCAAGCTTAGCTGCAAAGAATGCTGTGATCTATTAGTGGTGTCTGGCAAGGCACAAGAGGGAAGAGTAGCAGTATGTGTGTCACTTTTGTGCAGTCTCTGGATGACAAGAATCTGTGTGGTTTTGACAATACATAGTTGTTCTCAGGAAAAGTGAAAGATGATGTCCAAGTGTCTGGTGTGGCCAAGGGTAGAAACAGATTAGAAATAACTTTTAAAGAGCCACTTTTTAAAGTGGCTTTAAAAGAACTATAGACACAGGCTATCCTCAGCACTGAATTTCAACCTTCATACCACTCTCCGCTTGTGTGCCTTACATAATGATGCCCCTAAACCACCTTTTGTACCCTGACTCGAGGTTCTCAAACCTCAGCTTACAAATGATTTTTTCTGCGCTAATGCCTGCCAGCCAGTGGTTTCATTTTGGCAGCCTAACTCTTTGTCTGCATTGTGATCTTTGGGCAATTGATTTGAATATTTTATTTCCCTTGGTTTTATTTCCCTTGGTTTGTGGTTTTATAAAAGAAGTGTAAAAATGAAGGTGTGGATACCAGTGGAGGGAATGTAGTTCTCCTGAATATAATGTAGAAGCAGAGCATCGATTCAGAACTCTAAACGATGGAATTGCTTCAAAATTATCCTCAGCCACCTAATAAACCGTGTTACTGTAGTAATTGAGGAGCAGTCTTCTGTACATGGTGCCTGGGCACAGTGAGGTTACATTTGGCCAGGTTGTAAGTGACCCTCTTAATGACACCCCACTGGTTTAGTCCACCCAATATAGACTGCACATAGCATAACCAGCAAGTGTAGTCACATTGAAGTACTCCCACAGGTGAAGGACAAATTTTTATGATTTTTGAGTTGTTCTTATGTTTTACACAGTAATGTTATTTTCCTTAAATTTTGTGAGCATTGGAAATTAAGATAGCTGAGTTCCAAATATTATGTATCTGGAACAGGTCAGCTCTTGGACATTCTGGATAATTAATCTTCTACCACACAATACAGGCAAAAGTGGAAACTACTAAATGAAAGCAATGGGTTTTTAGCCTCACCCTGATGTTTTACAGACTTAAGCTGATTGGCTTCGGGAGGGGGTGGCAATTTTGAAGGAAATGAATCAAGAATGTATATGAAATGCCAAAGACCTATCATAGATGCTGCATGCAAAGCTAAGTGAAACTGGAGATTTTATAGCACTTTTAGCTCTCTGCAGAAACCATCAAGCCTTATTGATTACTGGCCTCTTATTTTTATTAATATTAATATTGATTTCTGCTCTTTTATAATATATTTGACCTGCACCTTTTCTGAATTACATTACATATGATAGCAAGAGATTGTATCGATTATGTGACGTGTCAATTGAGCTGATGGTTGATTTGGAAACAGGGATGCAGAAATTGGTGGTGCGGGGGCCATGAGTGGGCTGGGGAGGTTGCCATCATTGTAGAATAGAGACATTTTCTGAGTAAAATAATCCAGCCTTTCAGGGTGTGTCCACAGGACCCACTGTCACCAATCTTTGTTGGTTCTAATTTCCCATTTTTGAGGACTGTGTTTAAAATCTCTGCTTTGTCACTTACAAACTGAATGACTTGACTTTTCTGAGAGCATCGATTCAGAACTCTAAACAATGGAATTGCTTCAAAATTATCCTCAGCCACCTAATAAACCGTGTCACTGTAGTAATTGAGGAGCAGTCTTCTGTACATGGTGCCTGGGCACAGTGAGGGTACGTTTGGCCAGGTTATAAGTGACCCTCTTAATGACTCCCCACTGGTTTAGTCCACCCAATATAGACTGGACATAGCATAACCAGCAAGTGTAGTCACATCAAAATGTGAAAATAACACAGGGTTTGCATGGCTGTCATGAGTGTTGCAGGTTGTGTACATAGGTAGCCTGGTGGTTGAATGTGTGACCTTGGAGTCAGGCAGGACTTGCTGTGACCCCCATGTCTGGTTGCCATTCATTCACTGGGCAATCCTGGGCAAGTTATGAGTAGCTTCTCTGACCTTTGTAATGTGTAAAAAGATAATCATGCCTACTCATTCATGTTGAATGCTTCGTGTGTGGAAGTGCTAAGTAAATGCAGCCATTGTTATTACCACGTATAAAGGGCTGGGCATGGAGTGGGGATGTCTTGTTGCCTTCTTCCTTCCATCCCCATTTTCCAAGTCCTGAATTCCTCATCATCCTTTATGGGCTGACACCTCCTTGGAGAAGCCCTTCTGGACTGCTCTTGCAGTGAGGGACTCACTCTTTCTGTGCTCTTCCATTCTTTTTGCTCCCCTGATGACATAAGGCATGACCTCCTGTCTATAAGTCTTTCTTTCCTACCAACTGGAAGTTGCTTGAAGCAGAAATTTCCCTCCTGTGATTCAGTCTTATTTTTACCTTCCAGGACCTAGCTCAGTGCTTGGTGCATGAGAGTGTTTTGGTGAGCAAGTGAGTAGGTGGATGAGCTGAGTGAGTAAAGGAATATATGAATGAACAAATGGGTGGAGGACTGAAGCACTGGTCAAAGAAACCCTGGGTTGAACGGGAGTGAGAGGCTGACTTAGAAAGCTGGAAGTCTCAGGGCATAGATTCTAATATCTGGGAAATGGGAGTCTCTGAACCAAAGCTTGCATGCATATCTGCATCTGAGCACATTTGGAGGGAAGGTCCTTAGATTCTCACAAGTGTCCCTGGACCCCAAATGTCAACAAGTTGCTGATCTGAACAGATGGAGAGGGCAGGCCCCACTGAGAGGACAGAACCAAGTGATTGGAGGAGTGAATGTGACAAAAGAGAGAGGTTAAAACTGGCAGGACACTGAGTCCTGCAGGGACCTCAATTAAGGGGTGTGGCCAGCGCCACAGGCAGCCCCTGGGACAGGAACTCCTACAGTCCCTGCGGGCCTTGATGCCTCCTTCTAGGCAGCTCTTGTGCGAGGAAGCTCAGAGGAGGTTTGTGTCTTTGACTGTCTTGATTCTTATCCAGAATCCACTAGCTAAAAGGGTCTCTCGGGTTCATTGGGTCCAATCACCTGCCTCCAAATAGACTAAGCCCAAATGGTTCCAGGCAGGCCCTAGGTTTTTACTGCCCCCAAAGTCTTCTGCCCTTTTCTTCCTTTCCCTCCCCTCTTCTCACCTTCATTATTTTATCCTGTTCTATCCTATCCCATCCTATCCTATCCTATCCTATCCTATGCCATGCTATCCTAGCCTAGCCTAGCCTATGCTATCCTATGCCATGCTATGCTATCCTATAATATGCTCTGCTCTGCTATGCTATGCTATCCTATCCTGTGCTATGTTATCCTATGCTACTCTATGCTGTCCTATGCTATGCTATGCTGCACTATCCTATGTTATGCTATGCTGTGCTATCCTATGCTATGCTATCCTATGTTATGCTATGCCATCCTATGCTATGCTATGCTATGCTATGCTATGCTATGCCATCCTATCCTATCGTACATTAGTCTAGCCTATACTATCCTGTGCTATCCTAGTCTCTCTTTAGCTATGAATACTTAACTTTCAGTAAGAGCTGTGGCTTTTAAAGTATGAGTATTGACCCAATAGTGAATTCTGAAGTGGATTTAGAACATCATGACCAGCTTATTAAAAAAAAGAATATGATACAAAATATTAGCATGTATCACACATGTGTTATTTTGTGAAACTTCCTTTTCAGCTCTACGTGTGGTGGATTGTGATATATATTTCTTTCTGTGTTGTGGTCAAAAAGATTCAACAAGCATCACTCTCAAGCACGTCACAGGCACTCAGTAGATAGCACTGAAAGACCTCGCCTTTGGTGAGGTATGAGGCAGGAGGACAGACCATGTTAGGGGTCACTTCTTGTTGCTGCACCAGGAAGCCCTTCTTTCCTTTACCCCCTCTGTGGCCCACTCCTATCACCCCTGCTTCCTTTTCCTTTTTAATTTTATTTATTGTGGTAAGAACACTTAACATGAGATCTGCTCTCTTAACGTATCTGTAAGTATCCAATGCATTGTTGTTGACTGTAGGGGCAATGCTGTCCAGCAGGTCTCTGGAGCTGATGCATCTCACTACTGAAACTTTACACCTCTTCATTAGTAATGCCCCATTTCACCCCTCCCAGTTCCCCACAACTGCCATCCCACTCTTTGATTCTGTGAATTTGACTCTTTTAGGTACCTCACATGAGTGGAGTCATGCAGTATTTGTCCTTCTGTGACTGGCTTGTGCAGATGAATGGATCAAGCAAGTGTGGTCTATACACAGGGTGGAATGCTAGTCAGCCTTGGGAGACAGGGTCCTGGTGCAACATGTGACAACACGGATTCACCCAGAGGACGTTGTGCTGAGTGAAGTAAGCCCATTGCTCTCACCCTCTTCTTGATTCTCTCCTCTCCTCTTGTGCCCAGGTTGTATACGTGACCGCAACATTCCCCTACATCATGCTGCTGATCCTCCTGATACGAGGGGTCACATTGCCTGGGGCCTCGGAGGGCATCAAGTTCTACTTGTACCCTGACATCTCCCGGCTCTCCGACCCGCAGGTAAGAGTCACTTGCTCAATGTGCAGCATCAACCACCACCACTGGGAAGCCTTCTGCAGAGCCCCTGCCACTGGCCACTGGGATTCAACAGCTGGTTGAACAGTGGAAAGCCTATGAACTCTTTCCCAGAATAATTTTAAATGCATAAATTTAATACGTAGGAAATCAAATATTTTAAAATACCGTTACCGAAACATTTTAAACAGACCAATTTGTGACATGGGGATAGATGTACATTTTTAAATGAGGACATTACATAGCCAGATCCAGCAGCAAGTCTGACGACTACTGTGACTTTAAAGCAGCAATGAGCATAAGTGACGTTTCAAGATAGCTATACCATGATATGAAAACATCTGGAATTTCTATTGCTAACAGGACTGCAGTTTGTTGCCTGCATCTAAAATTGAAACAAATACTACATTTCAGTTAGAAGTTAACTAAAAATTAAAAAAACAACAAAAAAACATTTCTTCCCCAAATCACAGATCTCTGCAGTAGTGCCTCTCGGTGAGAGAAACTGGGTCTTTGTTCGTGATTGATTTTCTTTGTGGGAGTAGCTCATAGTAAAAAAAAGAGTTGGAGAAACTGGCTAAGCTATCAGTTGTCTTTGGTAAGGCATTTGTTGTTCTGAGTGGTGAGTAGTAATTGTGCCTAAGGTTCTCTAAGTGGGCACGTGGTGGTGTGCCCTGGACTATATTAAACAGATAAAACCAGAACATCTCACAAGCCCGGTGGTTCTCAACCTCAACTACATGTCAGAAGCTCTTGGGGAGCTTTTGAAAACGTGAATTCCCAGAGCACAACCCAGACCAATTAAAATGAACTCTCTGGTTGCAGGTGTCAGTATCTTTCAAAGGCCTCTAGGTCATTCTAGTGTGTGAAGTAACTTAATCAAAGACATTTGAGCGGGCGAGCAGGCACTAATTTTTCTATTAAAACACAGAACACATGGAATCAGTACAGTTTCCAAACAGGAAATGAGGCTTGCAGGAAATTTCAAGTCTGCGATCTGTGGCTTCCAGCCACCTCCTGTTAGGGGAGCTTGAGGGGGAAGCATTTGTTGAGGGGATGGTTAGTGCAGCTCAGAAGCCCCTCATCACGGTGGGCGGAGTGGGAGGTGAGCTCATTTTTGTCTCAGTTTGCCATGCCTTGCAGGGCCTTGAGGCTGAGGATACCACTAGGCACCTGCATGGCATTCTGAATTGCAGGCAGAATCCCTGGGAAGAAGGAAATTAGCTTCAAATGTTGGCTTTGCCAGTTCCTGATCTCTGATGGCAAAGGCTCAGTTGAAGGAGCAGTTTTGGAGAACATATTCTACAAACCACTGGTCGGTCTGTTTTTATGATGGCCATGCATTCTGCCTTGATCCAAGACAGATTTCCCCTTCTCTCCTCTGCTTATGGGCTTCTTTTTTCCTGGTAGTCATTCAAGAGCCACTGAGTGTCACCCAGAGTTTCCAGATCTGGCTGATCATCCGAATACCTCGGAACTGGTTAAAAATGCTGATTCCAGGCTCTACTCCTGGAGATCCAGTTGCAGTGGGTCTGTGATGGCACCTGGGCATCCGTATTACTAAGAACCCTCAGAGGCGATTCTTATAATCAAAAAAGTTTGGGAAAATCCAGGTGGCACCTAAAACTTCAGAGCCCTGCACACACACATACACACACACGCACACACACACACACACACACACAGAGAGAGAGAGAGAGAGAGAGAGAGAACGAACACAGAAGTGAGTCAGGCCAGGCCATTTTCTACCATCTCCTTCCTTTTAGGCCCTGGCCACCGGCCAGTATTAAGTAGTGGAGAGCACATTGGTCTGAGAGTTGGGACTTGAGTTCTCCTGGTTCTGCCATGGATCCTGAGTGACCGTGGACAAGTTCCTTCTCCCTTCCCTCTTTCTGGACCTCAGTTTCTCCACTGGTGACATGAAAGAGTTTTCAAAATGGATTTGGAGAGTCCCTGCTTTTCCATGAGCATAGGCTGGCAAACTCTGGCCTCTAGGCCACATCCAGCCCTCTGTCCATTTTTATAAATAATGTTTTATTGGAACACAGCCTGTTATTTGTTTACATATTATTGTCCATGGCTGTTCTAGCACTCAAAGGTAGAGTTGAGTAGTTGAGACAGAAACCCTGTGGACCTCTGTGTCGGGGGGTGGTCCCAAGATTACCTACATGTTTGGTAATTTAGAAGGATTCACAGGACACAGAAGCAGTTACACTCATGGATGTGGTTTGTTTCTATCATCAGTAAGACAAAGACAGTCACCAGGCAGAATGTGGAGGAATCCATACACAGGTTTCTCACTTTCCCTCCCTCCTGCCTGGAGCAGGTATGCAGACTGTGTTCCTTCCTCCAGCAAGGAAATGCGGCAGCATGCGTGCAGGGTTTCTGCCCAGAGAAGCCTTCCTGCAATGCAGAGTCCAGGTTTTTAGTGAAGGTGTTTTATTGACTGCACAGGTACTCCCTGCCTCCATGATCAGCCACAACCCTCTGACTTCCAGACTGTCAGAGGAAACACAGGCGTTTACCAGAAATCACACTGCTGTACAAATGGTCTAAGCAGGCAGCCTTTATGGGATTCAGTGTTCCAGGCATACAAAACAACCATGTCACTGAGTACCACAGGGAGCATCCTAAAAGCCCAATTCCCAGACACCAGGCAAGAGCCAACACTACAAATGGGCCCAACTTTGGAGCGACATTGGGCCTGCTCTGTTGACTCTTTCCTACAGGCCTGCAAAATCTCAAGTGTTTACTGCTTGGCTCTTTCTAGAAAAAGTTTGCTGACAGTGCACTGGAGTACCCTCAGGGGTGTGTGAGCAGGGGCTGATGGGCCCCACTCCACCTGACCCCCGGCTCCGTCCTCATTGCTCTCCACCCCTGCTGCCACCAGCCTAGTCCGGGCCACCACCATCTCCTGCGTGAAAACTGTAGCAGCCCCCTAACCGGTCATCCGGAAACAGCTCCTTGACCATCTAGGCCACTCCCTACCCAGCAACAGAGGGATCTTTTTGAGATGTAAATTCGATGGGCACCTGTTTTGCTTAAATCCCTCCTGGGATTCCCTGTGGTCTTTGGAACAAGATCCAAATGGTGGGGTCCCCACTGTCCTCTGTGAGCTGCCTCCTGGCTGCATCCCCTACCATTTTCCCCCTCTTTCAGCTCATTCCAGATATTGGCCTCCTCTCTGGGCCTCCAGTAGACATGGCCTTTCTAACTCAGGGCCTTCACACATGCTGTTTCTCTGCTGGAAACACTCCTTCTTTCTTCCCCAGACCGCCCCCCCTTCCCCCCCCTTGGCTGGGCAACCCCCCCCCCCACCCTTTTTTTTTTTTTTTTTTTTTGAGATGGGGTCTTGTTCTGTCATCTAAGCTAGAGTGCAATGGTGCGATCTCGGCTCACTGCAACCTCCACCTCCCAGATTCAAGCAATTCTCCTCCTCAGCCTCCCGAGTAGCTGGGATTACAGGTGTGCGCCACCACACCTGGCTAATTTTTGTATTTTTTTTTTTTTAGTAGAGGTGGGGTTTTGCCATGTTGGCCAGGCTGGTCTTGAACTCCTGAGCTCGTGATCCACCCGCCTCAGCCTTCCAAAGTGCTGGGATTACAGGTGTGATCCACCGTGCCCAGACCACCCATCCTTTAGGACTTAGTTTAAACATCACTTTCTCAGGCAAGTCTTTTCTGACTGCTCAACCATGCACCACCCCCCAGCACCCAATACTTATTTTCCAAAGCACCTACATATCCTATATATTTACAGTAAAATATTTGTGTGTATATATAATTGTGTGTGATCTTTATTTGTTCAATGTCCATTTATTGTTGAAGAGATATTTTCCGAGTGCCTACTCTGTGTCAGAGATTATTGTAGCCATTGACAGTTTTCCACAGGGTGGCCACTGGCTGAGATGGCAGCTTGGGAGCAAGGTCTGTATCTGCCTTTCCTACCATTGTATCCTTAGTCCCTGATGAGCTCAATGCCTGGTACACAGTAGGTGTTCCTTAAATGTTTGTTGAATGATAGGAATAAGGGCTATTTTCATTTTTCACGTGAAGGTTCTCTTTAACAAAAAGTCTAATGACCTCCAGATCACCAAATCCGTGAGCTGTAATGTTTTTTGATTCTCTATCAGTGATGGCTAGGAAGCGTGAGTGTGTGTTTGTGTGTGTCCCAAAAGCAACTATGTCCCCAAAAAGCAACTGCTGATTTTCTGTGGCATAAATAAGGATAGCGACCCCAAGAGGGAAAGAAAAACAAAACCCCATGTATGTTGGTGATTTTTGGAAGCTGGGGTATGCTGTAGGAAGAAGCCCAATGTGGCCTGATTCCAACTGTCCCCATTTGTGGATACCCAGCCCATGAAGAAGCAGGAAGCACTGGTTTCCATTCCTGTTCTCCTGCAGTGGTGATATGACCTTAAGTAAGGCCCCTAGCCTCTAGGGGGCCTTGTCCCCTCCTCCCTCAGTCACACGTTGCACTTGCCTGCCCCAGCAGATGGCCTTGAAGGTGGAGTCATTTGATGGCCCAGTCATGGAGAAATGTTTTTTCTTTTCAATTACGTATGTATGTTAATAAGCATTAGGAATAAAACCAGGACATAAACCATATCAAAACCATGGCTTTATTGCTATTATTGCTAGAATGAAACTATATATATGATATGTATGATCTCATACACACACATATATACATACATACATATATATACAGGTTGAGTATCCCCAAACGCTCCAACGTTTGAAACTTTCTGTGTGCCGACATGGCTCTCAAAGGAAATGCTTCAATGAGCACTGGAGCTCATTGGACATATATATGCCATGTATATGATTAAAAGTGAGGCTAATTTAAAGGCAAATGTTAAAAAATTATTAAAACAAACATGGACATGACAAATATAGTGCAGGTGGAAGGTGGCTGGCCAACATCTGAGGCACAGTGCTGTGGGGGTAGAGAAACATCCTAAGCTAGTCTTAGGACTTCCATAG